AGTCACTATGAAATACTGGTGACTGGTGAGGCTGATTGATCACCACGTGTGCGGGTGTTACCTGACTTGTCATGGTGATGGCATCCATTGACTGAGTTCCCCTTGGCGTGAAGTGGAGTGAACTGAACTCTGGTGAGTCACCTCGAAGACTGGTGACTGGTCCTTTAATGCACAAGTGTCATTTCCGCAGGATCAACTTGCGGGTGGTTGGGGCTACGCTGTCTTGCGTTCGTAGGGCTCCGCTTCATCAACCCACACCTTCACCATAAATGTAGTGGTTTTATAGGACTCGGGTTATACTTCAACGTATTTATTAAAAGGGTGAACCCGAGCCCACAACTCAAAGTGACCATGGTGGTAGAACTACGCGTCAGTCAAACACCAAAGATGTCCTTCAGCTACCTTCTTCCTCCTTTCCACGAGAAGTCCCAAGCGCGCGGCGAATATCAGCTAGGTTCAGTTGGGTGCTCGTGCCTTTATGAGCACCCAACTGATAGAAAGCGTCTATAACACTCACTCCTCCTTACTCCGGTTACACCTTGTGAAGTTGAAAAGTTAATCTGTAAAGTACGTGACAATCTTGCTGCAGGTGTTGTACGAAATAGCAGCCAGCCCGATAAAATATGTAGCGTCACTAATTTCACACCCTCTTTTATACATCAGGAACACTATGTTAGAAACCGGCATTTTTCCTTCAGAACTGAAAATAGCCCGCGTTTGTCCTATTTATAAAGGGGGTGCCAAAAACGTAATATCAAACTACCGCCCGATATCGGTTCTACCGGTACTCTCCAAAACTTTTGAAGGAGCAATACACTCCAAACTTGAATGCTTTTTCACTAAGCACCTGATAATTAATAAAGCACAGTTTGTGTTTCAAATGGGTAAGTCTACGGAGTTGGCGCTATTTGATACGAAAGAGGAGATATTAAAAAACATGGAAAAAAGAACCTCCGCCATAGGTCTTTTCATTGACTTGAAGAAGGCCTTTGACAGAGTCAAACATGATATTCTGATATCTAACTTGCATGATTATGGTGTAAGGGGCGTGACAGCTAAACTAATAAAAAGTTATCTTACCGAAAAAAAACAATATGTTAGGGTGGATAACCTTGTTTCCCCAATGAAAACTGTAAAAAAATATGTACCGCAGGGTTTAATCCTTGGATCGTTACTATTTAAAACATATAATAATGATCTCTGGGACATTCCACGATCCCCAAAATAATTATTCACGCTGATGACACCAACATATTTTTTACAGTTAGAATACTCATGCACCTTGAAACTGAGGTGAATGATTACTCACTCAAATAAAAAAAAAGGCTTCATCAAAATAAGCACATTATTAATATATGTAAAAGTAAGTACATAGTATTCCAGCCTATCAACAAGCCCTACGAGGACGACATTAACATCTTTTTCAAAAAGCAAAGGCTGGAGCAGGTTAAATCACAATAATTCCTCGGAGTGTGGTTCCAAGAAAAATTGTCTTAGAATACCCATGTTGATAGTCTCGCATCCGAACTAAGTAAGACTGTTGGGTGTATATTTAAAATGAATCCACTTATACCATTTGGCTAAAGAAAGATATACTATGCTCTTTTTTATTCGCGTTTGAATCATAATATGCTAGCATGGGGCACTACAAATGAAAAGAACTTAAATAAACTAGAAATCTTACAGAAAAAAGTTGTCCGCCTATTCGATAATTGTTATGGCAAGCCAAGGGTTCTCTTTCCAAATAAACACATCTTACATAGTGATATATTTATATAATACACTCGTATATTCATACATGCAGCTGCCCATATGTACGTACATACTACTGTATATACACGCGTTTTGTACCTAAAGGTGGGAGAAATGTGGAACCTAGCCAGAAGGTTAATGAATATGAATAGTGTTTTATGAAGAATGTTTTATGAATAATGCTTTATGAATGTTTTATGAAGAATGTTTTATGAATAGTTGACCTAACAGTCCACTATTCATAAAGCATGGTATACGCAAAGCAAGACGGGTGTATGAGTATAAGCTATTACTTTACATTCATAAAAATAAACTCCCCACTATTACGGCAGAGGAAGGCGCACTCAAATACTCGCTCCGTAGGCAACAAATTCGCGTTCCTGCTACTAGGACTGGATATGGTAGAGCCCAAACTGCATACCGTGCCCCACAGCTTATAAACCACTTAGGTGAACAATTAAATTTTAACCTCTCATTAACGCAATTCAAATATCACATAAAACATCTCCTCAATAATTGAGTATAGTAAACATCATGTTTCCAATAGACTTCTGGCTAGGTTCCACATACACTCTCACCTTTAGGTACAAAACGCGTGTACATACAGTAGTATGTACGTACATATGGGCAGATGTATGTATGAATATATGAGTGTATTATATAAAAATATCACTATGTAAGTATGTGTTTATTTCGATATGTAATAAAAAGAGCCTCGATGTCTGAATCTGTGTGTCTATGCAGCCTGTTTTTTGTAGGTATATGTCACCCATTTTTGCTTTTATGCTATTTCTGTGTTCTGTTATTATGCTGCTTCTTGCATTGTGATAATTATTATTCAGTACAGCACTGTTTGCTGAACGTTTATCATTTCGCGTAGCGAAGCCATGTCAGGCCGAATGGCCTTTAGCTTCGCTTCGTTTTTCTGTATCTCTCCAGAAATAAAATCTGTTCGTTTTCATTTTCAATTTCGTCATTCTCTCTGCGCGACAGCAGACGGCGCACATGTGTATACCTGTGCACGCGGTGATGGGCGCGTTGTTTGAATGCAGACAAGATGTTGCGCAGTCAGCACGAAAGCACCACTTCATTGTTATTGAGTTTTCTTCCATTTACATTAGGCATACGAGGAGTTAAAATGTCTTCCTGTAAATTTAGTCACTTGGTGAAAATTGCAGCCCCTCCCGGCACGTGGGCAGGAAATGTCTGCTATCGCTCATGTCGACAAATCGAAGGCTAATGTTTGGACTGCTCGGACATAACTTGAGTGGTCAAGTTACAGCTTAGCAACCATTTCAAAGAACTGAAAGCCACGCTACTTTGCAATGATATGCCAGCCATCTGTATTGTGCTCTGGTGAATTGCTATAAGAATGAAATACACTTGATTAAACTTGCGAACTGATGGGACTACGTAAGTAATGGTTCTTACATTTTTATACATGCGGATGAAAAACCAAGTAACGAACATTTAAGTAATTCTGACTGCACATGACGTGACGCTTCTTGACGACCTGTACTGAAAGTAGGCTCCGTCACTGGTAGCATGGTTGTTGTTAGAATACTTGATTTCTGCTTTTATTTTCCCGAATGCCAATTTATAAGTTTGCGTCCAATAGAATACTTTAATCAACGAGAACGCCGCTGACGCGACAGATACATTTTGAATGACTCAGAATTCATAACCAAAAATTTGCGAAGCCTATTATCGTTATGCATGCACTGAGATATACAGGGACTCACGTGCGACACGTAACGGCATTCCTCGTAGCATCGTATATGGGCTTGCATCAAATGTGGCTGTGGGAAAAATGTCATTACGTTCGTGCCAGACAAGCCACGATATTGCGACCATGAGGGCGTCCAGGCGACGGAGACTAGATAGATAGATGGATACAATGATATATATATATATATATATATATATATATATATATATATATATATATATATATATATATATATATATATATATGGATAAATAGATAAATGAATAGATAGATAGATAGATAGATAGATAGATAGATAGATAGATAGATAGATAGATAGATAGGGTGAACTTGCAATTAGACTTCTTGCAAACGTTTTGCGCTCAGTAGAGGAACTGATGCGCTGCCCGTACCACCTACTTTCTTGAGTGGGTAGCTCGACTGTATCTTGAGCCTTGAAGGCAGACAGCACTGGCCTGCACAGCTGTCATATTCAGCTGAGTTCATGCAATTGAACCAAGGAAAAAGAAGATGGGTGATACGACTTGCTTACGCGGCCTGTAGCTGCCGGCATGAAATTGCAAAGTACCAAACTATTTGTTTCGTCCTTGTTAGTAGAAAGCTGCGTGTTTCAAGTAGTGAACTCGTTGAACACAATTTCTAACCGTGGTTGAGAAAGAAGCGGTGACTTGCAAGTTCTTCTTGGTGGAACTTTGCCTGAGGTGCCTGGCTGCTGACCCGGAGTTCTTGGGTAGGATCTTGACCGCGGCAGTTGCAGTTCAATGGAGATGAACTGGTTGAGGCCAGTGTGCTGTGCGATGTCAGTGCATCAGATGGCCGAATTTCTAGAGCTCTTCACTAAGGCGTATCTCATTTTGACATGCTGGTTTAGGGACTTAAAACCCAAGAAAATTTTATAGTATGTGATTTGCATAGCGTGGTGGCAGATGCTACTGTACCTATTATCTGGCCGGCCTTTGTTGTTATGACTTCAGTAAACGCTGTAGCCCGTCGGAAACCTATCAGGTACCTAATTTCACAGAGTGTCGAGGAAGCGCTATACAAACAATTTCTAGTCTTTTAAAGAATGGCCTATTCTGATAGCTGTGTTACGCAGCGGTGCAGTTCAGGTGGCCTTTTGTTTTCATGTCCCCCTCCCCCCTTTTTCTTCTAAGTGAGCACACGAAAGTGCTACCGTAATGTTGCCGCTGAAATATATACTGGTAGAGTTCATAGCACTTAGGGAAACGTTCTTCTTATAAGAATGTTTTTTCTAGGAAAAACGAGCACAACACTGATAAGTTATGGCTAATAGCTAGGTTAAATAAATATCGCTGGCAGCGTCATAGAAGTGCACCGGCCAGTTGGCGCTAACATGCTTTAGTCGTTAAGCAACATTGCCTAGTCGTGGCAGCCGATAAGCACCGACACCTTTCCTTCACCATAGTTACAAACTGACGGTAGCTTTTTTTGCTGAATATCAATGACTACTACCCTGATGCTACAAGCACGTATCTAAGCAATGTACCTTTGGACAAAAAACATGTCTAAGGGTTCTGTTTACCGCTAACTTTATTGGCTTGGCGCTCGAGTGGCGCTAAGGCAATATGAGTGATTTCTTTTTTTCTGATCTTGTGCAGGAATTTCGAAACCTGGAAGGTCAAAGAGCTCGGGCTCAAAGTCGAGCAGTGAAGAAAGAGAAGTTGTAGCCAGAAGCCGCTTCTCTTCATCGATGCGAGGATCGGGAACCATAACGACCTGCATGCCGGCAGCGATGGCAGCCTTGACGCCCATCACTGAGTCCTCAAACACAAGGACCTGCACGAACAGGGTGGGCCCCGACGGGCAGGTTTCCTTTCACTCATTTGTCAATTGATTATGCGCTAGAGGTACTTTCGAGCGAAGCTACTTGATGATATCAAGGTAACGCAGGCAATAAAAACCAATTATTTGCATTAGCACGTACGGTGAAATGGTGATGCTTACAGAGATAAAACGGTAATGCTTACTGAGATATACGCGCTTTTAAAGCAGACCTTGCGTTGCTTTTTTTTGCCATTTTATGGCAGATACTGCAGTAACTTTTCCAGTTATGAGAATTGCTCTCCACCGTCCGTTTCGCCTAAATTGACAAAATGAACTGCTTTGAACTAGATATATGCACGCTTCTCAATACCGAAAACCGTCTCACTGCGATATGATACGTTTAACGAGGCGAAACCCACCTCATACAGAACTCATGGTCTCTACAAGTTCACATATGAAGTGATCTATAGTCATCTATGTTTCTTTTTTTTTTCAATAATGACTTAAAAGTAAACGCCACATACGTCACCTAAAGCGCGAAAATCGACCATTTGTGACAATATAAAAGATATAAAAGCCTTGATGATAAGGTTTAGTCATAATATTTGTTATGACGTTACCAATGCTTCCGGTCTGGGAGTCATAGCAAAACTACGTTCAGTGGAGAAACCTGTCGTTGGAAGGCAGGAGAGTCAGTACGATTGACTTAGCACAAGAATAAAAAGTGTGTATGGCTTTGATACGTAAACACCATTGACAAAAGACTCTTAGGGAAAGCTCCAGCAAAGTGGGGCCAAAATCTCTGAGTAACTTCGTTATTTATGAACTGAGGATCAAAGTTGACAAAGCCTATTTCTTTCTTTCACTTCACTCTTTCATTGTATTCACTCGTCATTGTTTTAATGTATCTTACGCTAATGCTTTTTCTCACTTTAATTGAAGATCAGAACGTTAATTATTGAGAAAAGAAGATACACCAGAGCTGATAGCACCACTGAATACAATCAACTTCTTGAATCGTAGGCATACCAAAAGACAAAGACAACAACGGGCGCAATTGTGCACAAGCTTGTCGTTGTTTACCCGAATGGCTCAAGTGCACAGAATGAGCGAGATGCTTGCTTGAAAAAATTATCAAAAAACAATGTTGAAGCTCTTTGCCTGAAGCTTGTGAAAACTTTTGCAGTGTTAGCGCAAGAATTTATGGAACCTCCTCGTTCTGCAGTTCTTCACAAGCCATGGATACCACGCCATCCCTCTTCCATCCTCTGATGGATGCTCCTTTGGTATTTCGCGCATTGTAGCCAACGCTTAGCAGCTTACGAAGACGCTTGCAGCAGGTGTTCGTCTCATCAATAACCCGATGATCGTGAACCTGCCGAAGTGATGCATACCAGAAGTTTTGGACATATTCGTTTCAGTATGAGACACACGAGACATCCCAGAGATTTGGAAAAGCTTCCCGGGTAGTGCCCATTTTATTATCCTGCAAAGGTAATACCAATTATTCATCGTATTTCTCTGCTTTCCCCAACACCGGGTTTAATGAAGATCAGGAAAATATTCGTTCATAGTCACCCAATTTGGTATTTGGAACAGAAAAGAAAGGTTCTTATATAAAGAGAGAAATGTCTATAGCATAGTGTAATAGACATTGGAAGCCACACCGAACATCACTGAAAAGATGGCCCTTCTACTCTTGCTGTATTATTGGACGAATTTGAGGCTTATGACCAAGTTTTACGAATTTCTGATATTATACAACACCGCTTCATGGTATTTCCGGAGAAGAATTTTCGTGCCATGCACACATTTCTGAGGAACAAATTCTTCATGTTTGCTTCGGATACTCTGTTTGTAAAAAGAGGAGCATCGCTCCTCTGCTATTCAATGTCGCTCGTGCTTGTCTTTCAAGTCCAGTTTGACGTCGGCGCTTGTATTTGAAAGTGTACATCTACGCATACAACATCTGCATCTGTGTATCGGGTTACAGGCACAAACAATTAGAACAGATAGCCCCAAGGTGAATTTTATCAGATCAGATCTACTTGTCAACAATCGATCTGGTAGCAGAGAAATCCTGTTTTGTTGTTTTTATCTACGCAACGATAAAAGGTGACGCGCTTGCAGTTAAACTTGGACAGTAAGGTGACACGAAAGGCCACAAGTGCCCGTTTCCTGGGGGTGAGTTTGGACAACAGACCTTCATGGAGGGAAGCTGCCGACCACCTTTTAGAAACACGCTTAAAGTGACATCTGACCCTGCATTGATTTGGTGGTGTGCACTGGGGCAATCCTTCCAAGTCCATGATGGTAATGCATAGCACCCTAGGGAACAGCCGGGTGATTTTTAAAGTACCGCTTATGTCACAGAGGCCCGTTGTAAACAATTGTATCGTGTACATCGCAAATATATCCGCTAATCTTTTGGGTTTTCAAAGCGAGCCTCAAACAAGAGAGTCGTGCATAAGGCCCAGTCTACCACTATGTATTGTGGAATCCCAAGCTCTACATACCCAACTCCTACGATTGTGTCCTTTAGGAGAGAAGCACATAACAGATCACTCAGAAACAGTAAGCAATTTATCCATTAGTAGCGTTAATGAATCAGATAACGGACATGCTGAAATCCCCCGAAACTGGAGGACCGTTAAGCTTTTTCTTAAGAGTAGGATGAGATAGCGATATTCAGACTTCAGTGCAAACTTCAGCCATTTAGAGCATACTTTTTATTGTATAATGTTATTCGAGAAGCTTATATTGTTGAATACCAGAATTTACGAGATAAAGTTGTAAGTGGCCTGTGTCAGTAAAGATTTCTCTCATGGGTGTATTCTGTGTATGTGTGGGATGCTTTAAATTGAGCGCGTCCAATCTTTTCGACCCTCCTGTGCATCTTCTCCAAGGTCTAAAAAGAGTAGGTGCAGTAACGTGTGTGCCTGTATTTCTGGGTCGCCCGTTTTAAACCATAACGACATTGTGATAAATACACGATCTGACACCCTGATGACAATGTGTGCTTTACCACGCAATGATACTGGGATAGTACATGTTGTATTGTGAAGCGTGTATACAGAACGCGTGTGATAGTAAAGCATGAAAGAGACTTTCACTGCATTATAAGAAGATGAATTTAATTTCAGTGCGTTTCCTAGCTTAAGTTAAGCTGCCTGGTGGAACTCCTGCCCACCATGCCAAAAACCAAGGTTAGATCCTCACTCAGGCGCGGAAAGTAACATTATTATTTGTCTTATTGCCATCTTTTTCTAGTTTTGCTGATGCACAAGATGATAATTTTTCATTCCCAACCAATGACGCCAAAACCAACTCCGACACCAGAATATCTGTGAAACGAGTTTTTTAATGCTACCACTTTAAAACAAGCCAACAAAGTAACCTGGCTTAGAGGCCTGAAGATTTTCTTTGTGACATTAGTATTCTAGCGCTCCAACCTAAGTGGTAAACAATTTTTACGGAAGTGAGCTGCCTGGTCCTTGAGCATCTGAGATGAAGCATTCCAACTTCCTTGACGTATACGTGGATTCTTCCGTCAATATCAATATTAGCAGCTGTGCTGCGGAATATTGAATGCAATCTAATGAAGCTTTATGAACTGGCCGCTTGGGCAACCTAATATTAACATTTGCAGGGAACACAGCCATTGCGGCTGCTCTTCGCAAACTGAATGATGAAGCCATCCATCTAGCTGTAATTCACTCGGACTGTGAGTGGGCAGTTCTTAAACTTTCTTGATGGACTCCCACAAACAATACTGCCACCAGTCTAGCATCGCTGAAAGACGCTACCAAAAAAGACATCAACACACCTTCGCATTTGATACTTTGGCATGTTTATGTAAGCGAAAACAAATGAGCAGATGCCATATCCAACAAAACACTTTCAGGACAACCGACAGTTAGAGTTCATATGAACCAGCAACAACCAAATAGACAATCCCATGCCATTTTTGTTCTGGCTGGAATTTTACCGATCAACCCTGTGTCGCCACAGGCCGTAGTCGGGTCAAGCCAACTTTCTACACAGAACAAAATCACGATCGGCCTACACTCCTGCATTAATTTAAAGTAAGGGACACTCCAGGAGACGCTCTAGGTGCCGACCAGTGCGGACGCGCGAAGATTGGCTCCTGCTTTCAAGAATGCTTTCCTGTGGTATTCACGAATTTGTCGCCGAGTTTTTACTCTCATCGTGTGCCTAAGTTCTTAAGAAATCAGCAGATACCACCTTTGTGCCGGTGAGTGGACTTTTAAACCGTTTTTTGGGACATTTTTACACGGCAACGCCACCGGGGGATTTAGGCCTAACCAAGAAGGCGATTGTCGCCGATGCGCCGGCCCGGCGCCAACGCGACTCAACGCTCTGCGCGTTCCAGTATCTGCAACTGAGAATGGAATACCAAGTAGATGGAGAGGACATCTCTCCAGGGGATTGCACGGAAGAAATGGGTTGGAAGGAAGCCGAAACGAGATGCTCAAGGAATAAGCAAGCCGCGGTTAGCATTCCTGTTGCCAAGGGTTTGACCGAAGCCGGCGTCGCGGGAGACGCTCGAGCCAGTCGTAGTAGGTATGACACCAAGCATACAATCGTGCGAGCTGGACGCATGCCGCCACTACCTAAGGACTTCAGCAAAATTGTGCTACGACCACGTGGAGGATTAAATATCTCGAGAATTGGCACTGGAGCCGTGGCAGACGCGACAGTACTGGTGGCCGGCGTCAAGAGGAAGAGGCCATGCAGGACATCATCTGTTCCAACTTGCAGCAGAACATTATGGTGGCAAGCACTCCGGACCAAGACAGAGCTTCAAGATACCTCAAGGTCAAGCAAATTGACATTGGAGGCAAAGTTTTTGAGGTTAGCGCGTACGCTGCGGCACCCTACGACACTTGTAAAGGAGTGATTCGCGGGATCCCCGTAAGCGATACTCAGGACATTTTAACCCGAAAGATTGTGAACGCGAACAAGCCGCTCGCGCTTCAGGCCAAGAGAAT